CTAGGATTGCAGGACTGGGACGGTGGAACGGGTGGGGTCGTTCCAGAGGAGGTACTTTCAGGGGGTAGGGGATGGTATTTTGCGAAATTTCCCAGCAACGGCAGAATGTACACTGCACAGAAAGGGGACACGCCAAACAGTGGCGTAAATTCTATGAAACTCCGCCCATTCGGTCCGCGCGGAATGGGTCCTCGATTTCGCCACAACCACCTTGTCTATCCAATTGTCAGCCTGAAGTTGTTGAAGGGTGGAGATCAAATTTGCAGTCGGTCCTTGTAATAGTACGCAATATCCTCCTGCTTCATATGTTCGAAAATGTCCCTCAATTGGTGTACCTGGAAAAGGAAGCAATTCAAGAGGAGGTGAACCAGTTCGGCTTGGGGGGGGGAGGGAGAGAGGGAGCATTCGCACTTTCGCTTTTTCTCATCGACGAGTTTATTGCTTTACATGTGTTGACAGGAAGTCTATAAAAACTGGCTGGTATCACTCCCTTGCTTCACAGGATTTCACAGATCTCCACTGCATTGCTCGACATGTCGATGGGCGAGGTAGCGAAATGCAAAATGCCCCTCCCAAGCGGATTGCGCACCATTAAAGAGAGAAGATGCAAAAGAATCCGATCTTTTTCTATATCGTGAAGTAGGAGCCACCGGGCAGTGATTACTTTGTTAGCCTTTGGTAGAAGATAAAGAGCAGACAAATAAAGACAACGTAAGACATATTTGGACTCTGCGCAAGACAATATTTGGGTCTCTAGAACCCTTGGATTGTAATCGCGGAATCTCTGTTTCATCGCCCGACTTCCTCCGGGTTGTCCAAAAGACGGGAACGGTCTTAGCGGAGATGCACAGTATCGGGACTGGTCATCTGACTTTACCGTGAAATCACCTACCTTGTAGCTCATCCGGGGTACGGTAACGGTATGCAGAAGGTGGTGATGAGTCGGGCGTCGCTTCGTACTTCGTCCAACCAGCAGCGTATTGTGGAGTATGATCCTGCACTGCTGAAATCATTAATTATGATTAAGCCTGGAACTGAAACCATGGAACTGCCAAATTTAAGGACACTTTTCAGTAACGGGAAAGTGAGTGAAGATTCGCAGCCACCGTTTTACTTCACTGGCGTGCCTCTTCCTTATACAGTGAGGAGCATGATGCACGTTGATGGAGAAAGCACGGTGGCTACGAATCTCCGCCCAGCTGATTTCGCGGGACGCTTACTCCTTATCCCTGAGTCGGAGTACGAGTGGCATTTGAACCCTAGGGCGAGTTAATCGTAGGATGTTTCAGTTAGACAACTGCCATCTTGTTCGGACCATAGACCTCATTACAATTGCCACAAAATCTTGTAACTCACGATATGCTCTGCCACGTTCAGCTGAAGTACGCAGCCACGCCTACTTCATCTCAGGGATTCCGAGTGTATCTTCGGTTCAGAAATATTAGCAGTAAGGTTAGTTAAGGGCATTGTCTACTAAAGTATGACGTCTGCTACAGAAGTGGCCGAAACAGCATGTCTTGGACTAGGTGGAGAAGGCGTAAAAATAATCTTTTTAGACAGAGCGTGTCTGATAGGTGCCACACGATGGACTATTGCTCGGCCCTCTCATGTTACGAAAGTGTCCTACAAAAAAATATTAGGTTCAGTTAATTGATGGTTTTCACGTTCTTGAATGTTTCGTGTTTCGAAAGGAGGTTGATTTTCGTTCATGCTATCGCGCACTTGAAGCAGAGACGTCATTATTATAGATTACCTACTCGGGAGGTATGGCCCGAGTAGGTGAAAGTCAGGAGATCCGAGTGACGCGGCAAAAGCGGCAAAAAAGTAACTTGAGGAGCGCCGCACTTGTTCCAGGACCTAAGATGGGAAGGTCTAAAGACAACTTGAACTGAATCCCTTCAATCGCGTCAACCTTCTATTTATCTCTGCACTCTCTCATCTGCGCGGCCTTCTTCAAACAATGTGACCTCACATATTCCACCTTCCCAGCTTTGCACGAATGGTAAGTGGCTCACCCACCTCAGAGTCCCTCCTCTAGAGAAACCCCCTGGCTTCCACATGTTTTTTGCACGTTTTGTTGTTTGTTGTCGGCGTTGTTGTTGTTGTTCTTTTGGCAGCGGCGTCCTCTAGACGTGCGCATACGCTTACAATTCTTTTGCCAACCAAACATTCTCTGGGAGGGTCCAGAGGTATTTTTCCGTCCCATCTATTGTTGAAAAGAGAAGGAAAGAAAAGAGGGAAAAGAGAAGGAAGGGAGGAAAAGAAGGAAGAAGGAGGAAAAAAGAAAGGAGGGTGCCCTCGTTGTTGACAAATATCCTGAGACGAACCGAATACCAGGGCACATCTTTGTTTGGGGATTTTAGTCGAGTCCGTGCGACCCCCCCTTTATTGGGGTTGGTTGACGACCCCCCCCCCCTCCGGCCCTCTGATCGCCTCCTCATCGAATTCGAGCGCGTTAGGGGAGGGCGGTGGTGGGGGGGAGAAGGGGAATTAGCCACATCTGAAACAGGGAAAAAAGCGAGAGATATCGACTCCCCCCCCACCAATCGACCCCTATACTTACCAATTCTCAGATTTTCCAAAACTTTCTGCCACTTTTTCTAAAATTCCTCGAGACTTCCCTACTTTTCCCCAAAAATTTTGCTGTCGAACCGGGGAGGGAGGTAGGAGAGAGAGAGGGGGGAGGGGGTATATAGTACGCATGAAACAACAACAAATCGCGAAAAGTCACCACTTCCAACCACTCCTAGAAGGCCAAAAAGTAAATAAAAGTAAATACGACCCCCTTTGCTCCCAACAATGACCAAGTACGACCCCCCCCTTTACAACGTCCGTGAAGCGAGAAAAATCAACTATCAAAATAAATTTTTCCCAGCCCAAATACGACCCCCCCCTCTCCTGGCGGCCAAATACGACCCCCCCCCGGATTCCCCAACAACGATGTGCCCTGCCGAATCACCGTTTCGCAATGGGGCCATGCACAGAAGTTCATGTATTGATGTACACGCGTGTCGACGCGAAAGTGCACTAATAGTGAGGCTAGAAATGCCGCGCGCGCTGTACGTCCTGTGTATAGTTGCAAGTAGAACCCCTCAATCCCCCCCCCCCTCAAGAACACGTAATTTGGTTGGCGATACCATGATAATCGATGGGAATAGTTCTTACACAGAAGAATAGTCAGTGCTACAGCCATTGAAGTATTGCCCGAGTTGATGTTCTGTGTTGCACTCCGCCAATGGCAATGACCGCACTTGTCGAATATGACCAATACCCATTTGACGTGACACCTGAAATACCAAATTTTATGAACAACTGTCTTCAGTTCGGCTTGGTGGGGGCATCAAATGGCTCTTTGCAAAGCGAATTCAGGCCATCATGTGGAGATATGTAGGTTCCGAGAGTGGGCAAGAGAATCGTAATTTGCCGCTCCGTCGCGCGCGGCGCGCGGCGTTTTCTTGACTCGTGTTGTTGATTGTTGGATTGGAAAGCCACCGGACTTCATGTAGACCCCGTCATCGTAGACATTCATGACTATTTTTTGGTTCTGAATTGCCTGTTGTCGCCATCTACTACCTGGAACCATCGTCATTTGCAGGGCGCGACGTCGCACGCGACGCCCACCAGCGCGGCGAATCACGATTCTCTTTTCACATACCTGGTTCCTGACCGAACTGGCTCTCTTATGCCATTTCGCAAGTACAGGAGTTCACAAGTCTCACCCAAGTGCAACGTGTTGGTTAATATGATCAACATAAGGAAGAAGTAAAGTTGCTTAAAATGCCCTCCTCAGCAAATGACGCGTACCCATCCGAAAATTCGATCATTTCATTAACCCAATTAGAAGCAAAGAAAAACAAACATGGGAAAGGAATACACTCCACAACACAGATGATCCGTTTCGCTCGGTATCGCAGACGAATCATCATTGTCTAGCCAACCCCCGAGCTCATCAGTGCGATAGGTTGAAGACAAGAGGACATAGACTACATAGGGGAAGGTGTGAGAAATAGGACAAAAAGAGAGAGATTGTAAAAAAGGGGGTAACATGCAAAGTTCATGCATCAAGATGATGATGAATTATACATAATAATGAAAATTATACATAATAATGAAAGAGTGATATAACACGAAGTGTGCTGTAAATACTTGTGGAAGGAAGGGAAAAGGAGTAAACCGGCAAAACCACTGAGAGAATGTTGAGTATAAGAGAAGGTATACCAGAAATAAATCAATTAAAGTATAGTGGAAAGAAGGGAATTAGTGTTGATCACTGCTGCAAATGAGTAAACCTGTGACTAGTCTATTTATCTTTCTATAGTTATTTGCGATTGAGTACTTGTAACTTATAAATTTATTTTTATAAATACACTTAACAATGCTAGTAATAATAAAATCTTCCTCGTAGCCATTTTTCAAAAGAGTGGTGATCATATCCGTTATTTTGCTAACGAAAGCGTTGAAGAACGAACAAGTGTTCGCTAACCTCAAAGTTTCCGTATATATAACAGAGGATTTGTTGATAAGAGAGATATTTGTGTCCCTATACGGAAATCTGATAACACTGAAGGTAAAATCATCCGTTTTATTATACAGCTTGGTACTAATTTTACCGTTAATGATATTAATTGTTAAATCTAAATAATTACTAGAAACCTCACTCCTATGAGTTTTTTTCAACTGAAGGGTATTTTGATAAACTTGAGAAAGTAGTTCATCCACATCATCATCAGTTTGGTTGTGAACAACAAGCAAATCATCCATATATCTATATGGGATGAACAGCTTAGTTTTATTAAACTTTTTAGATTTAGCATAGTCATATTCCATGACAGAAAGCGTAAGATCTGCTAGTAGTGGACTGAAATTGCCACCTTGTGGGACACCTTTAGTCTGTTTGAACGTATTATTAGCAAAAAGACAAAAGCTGTTACGTAAAAGATAGTCAATAAAGTATACTAAATCGCTGGATTTGTAATATCTGTAGTTGTTCTTGAGTTCTTTACCATCTGTATAGAAAACGTGGTAACCATTAGTGGCAATAAAGGATCTGTTGGCATTTTTGAAGCAAATGTCAAGGAGTTCCTGCATTTTCTTAAGAATAAGATCATGCTCTAAATTTGTGAACATGTCAGTGAAATCTGCTGTGTAAATTTTGAGATTGTCGAACGTGATGCTGTGTAGTTCGTGACTTATATTAATATTACTTATAGACCAGTATGTCTTGATAGTCCTGTTGCGATTCCGAATTGCTTTAGCATAGTTTATGAAGTGATTTTTAAGATGTGTGAAGATTATGCGTAATTCCTGAGCCAGTGGTTTAATACTACTGCTATGTGCACCTGTGATGTACCTGAATTTAACTGGGTTCTTATGTAGCTTTGGTAAGGCATATATAGTAGGTATTTCTGCATCAATGGATATATTGATATTATTCTTAACACAAAGGAACTTGTTTCAATATTAAAGAATACTTGTTCGTATGAGGCATCAACTCATATGTGTTATTACTATTTCCATAGACAAATGTGTGGTTGGCAGCATCATAAGAAATGCCCATTTCATGCATAATGTTCAGAAGGTAGAACTTCTTACAGATGATGCCATAGTTATTATTTGCTTTGTCGAGTGGGCAGAACACGTATTTTTCTTGATATTGTTTGATTAAGTTGTAAGGTATGTGTTCTCCTATATCTTCAATATTAGCCTTTGTCAGTAAAGGTTTTACTTTGTCATGGTAACATGAACGAAAATGTTTATATAATAGATTAATCTTGTGATTGCTAGCCTTGTATTTATATTTAAAATAATTTATTATCTTGTTGAGTGTATCTTCAAACACCATTCTAACTTCTTGTCTTGTTATGCCTGTGTCAGATCTATATTTGGTCCCTTTACTCAGTAGTCTTCTGAAACCATCTTCTTGTATGAGATTTACATTTCCTGTGATAACGTGTTCATGATTTTTATCCACATATTCTTGTACTGTATTTGTAGTACATATACAATCGTTGTTGAGTATTTGCTTCAATTTTTCGTTGTCGAGATCTTTCAACACTTTGTTGTAATTGCAAATTTTGCTAGCCATTGTGTTGCTGTACTTATAAATGATTCTAATTGGGGTGAAATCACTGCTCCTTCCATTATCGTTGAGTAGTATATCTCTAACAGTACGTGAATTGAAGATTCTGTTGAAGGGTATTTCATTAAACACCCTGCTTTTGAAACTGACCTCTACATTATGATAGTTCTTTTTGGTGATTTCTTTTGTGGTAGTGTCAAAATGAAAATGAGCTAGCAGACAAAATATTAAGTACCTAGTCTTATTATTAACTCTTTGTAGAAAGTCTGCAGACATGGAGAGTTCAATTAGTTTCTTAATTTCTTCTTTACGCAGGCTTTTGAGCATTCTGAAGTAATGAATAGGTTTGAGTGTTTCACTATTACTTGTTATCGTTGCTATAATATTATCGTATGTGCTTACTTTAATTTTTTTACTGCTTCTTTTTCCTCTATTTATCCTTTGTTTTGTAATTTTAAGAGAGAAGAAGGGATGATTGCCCTTGTACATGAGAGGATTATCTATATTTGTAATGTTTCCATATCCCTTTATGTTATCGTTCAACCCAAAGGGATATGCTGTCATTAGAAGTTTGATCCAAAAAAGTTCCTTTTCTATTAATGTGGTTTTATCATTAGACTTCATACAGTCTAGTACTTGTACCGTTATACCTCTATCACATTTGTAAAAGTGATTATATAACGGTGTGTGTACCTTGTGTGAAAAAATATTAGAAAGATGTTCTCCAATTCTTTCTTTTAATTTTCTTACTGTCATTCCAACATATTGTATCCCACAGCCATTGCATGTTAAACAGTAAACTACATTTTTAGCGTTACAATCTGCATCTGCTTCTTCTATATGTGTTAATGTATATTTTGTAACGTTTGATACAATGTAATTATCTGTATTAGTTATATCACATGTTCTACACTTTCTTTTACATTTGCAACCCTTGTTATCGTTACCAAAGTCGTTGAGTTTGAAGTGATTGGCCCCACCCCTTACCTTGTGGAACCGGGTAGTGGAGTAATAATTATTGTTAGCCGCTGACTTTCGCATTTTTTGACCTAAGATCTAAGCGCATGAGCGGTCAAACCCATACGCAGCAGAGAGCAGACTTCCCGAAGGTTCGGCAGGGCTGCTGCCCAGGGGGTGGCTCTCCCTGCAAAACTACCAGCGCTGGGGGCGCCAAAAACTGTCCGCTCTTGCCGTTTTTGACTTGTATAACCCCGTCAGCGCTAGTCCCTATTTTTTTGAAGAGGTATGGCCCTCTTTTTTGAGAGGCATGGCCCCTCAGTGTGTTAATGATAGTGTGTGAGAAGTATGGGACATGTTAAATAAAACAAAAAGTAGAAAAAAGAATGAAAAAAAGAAAGGAAAAACGCGCAGGGCCAACCAGTAATAAACAAGGATAGCAAATGAAACGAAAACCATCTATAGCCTAGGCTAAAGTGTAATACATGTGCCACATATGAGTATAATCCGTGATACAAGAGAGTAGAAAAAAAGTTGAAAAGTTAGTTTTTAAGAGGGGTTTTTTTTTTCATTTTTATCCAATTATATAATAGTGAAAGCAGTGAACCAGCCAATGTGGAAGCAAAAAGTAACAGTCTGAAAGCAGATAGGTGTGAGGATACGTCAATCGACGCAAGAGGACCATCGGTCCCAAAGAACAACGTCAATCGACGCAAGAGGACCACTGGTCCCAAAGAACACCACTGGTGCAAGAGGCAGTCGCCTCAGTTCGAATCAAAATCACTATAGAAGAACACAAAAGTTATAGACGGAAGTGAGTAGTGTATGTCGAATGGAAATAGCTGAAATCGAAGAGCGACCACCGGCCGGAA